CGTTTGCATCGCATCCAAACTTTGTGCACCACATTGGACACTTATATTGATGGGGTGTTAATTATTGGGGGCATCGATAGTCTCCATTCACAAACGTCTCAGGCAGTGCTAAAGTATCTCTTTCTTGGAAACTCGGGTCAAGAATTACTAGGGGAGCAGGTAATTTTACAAGAGCACGAATGCCTTGAAGATATTGTTCTTCTGATACGTCCGCAAGGCGTTTCAATCTTTTACTCTATCGAAAGCGATGCAGCAGCGATACTTCTGCCCATTATCTCGAAATGGCGCAATGTGACTGAGTATGTCGTGCATGATGGAATGGATCAAAACGAACAAGAGGAACGTAAAATTAATGCTTTTAAGAACATGGTGATGGAGATCAAGTGTATCGGGGTACCATTTGGGTTCGACCAATACGGGGGTAACCTTCAAGACCCGATGGTATTTGAAAAATGGCCTCTGGTTCAATCGTATGGACTTGACGGCAGAGATTCAAGAGACAAAGGTTTTCTCACCATGAACCATCAGGTGGTTAATATATCTCAAGAAATGATGCAAGTGATGGCACACCTTGATACATTTAGTGCAAAACGACTTGTTAAGGAGAGTCAACCCTTTTTAGCGCACCATTTTGATGCATTTTTACAGAAGCTCGACCATGCCGAGTCACCAGATGTGCGCAATGCAAAGTCTGAATGTGAGTTGGGGGAGAATCTGTTGACTTCTTATGAGTTTGGAACGATGCAGTATCGTGCCCGTGGACTTCAAATTGCTCCAAACAGAGGTAGCCGAGTGTTGTTTGGAGTGAGGACGAATGCGTTGACGGAAGTGTCTTCTTCTGAGGCATTTCTTGCAAATTCAGGTGCAAGATCTGATGTTCCGGCAACGCATATGGTCGTGCAAGCTGAAGATCCATTGACAGGCGTGCGATTTGCCCGCACATATTTCTTCTCGACTGGAAAAGTGTGCAAACAAATCTTCGATGATGACTCGTTGGTTTATTCACAACAACAGCTGAGTGAGAATGTTCCGAAGTCTGCAGCAGATACGAAGACAATGATCGACATGTATGCGCTGCTATTTTATGGTTTTAAAAAGGGAGTAGCACAACTCATTGAGTGCATGGCTGGCAATATGGCATCCATTGATCAATGCCTAAAATTGGCCTGTGCAGAAGCCATTCAGAAGATGATTCAAGTGGATAGAGCTGAATCACAAATGCTTGGATCGCAAAAATTTCCAGTCTCATTCTTTAATGATCAGCTTCATTTCATAGTAGAGGCCATGGATGCTCGAGGACAACGAATTGACTACCTCACTAAAGGTTTGTATTGAGAATTTTATAATTTCGGCAAGAAAATTGTGTTAGTTGTGTTAATGCTGTGCAGATTGGTGTCTTTTGTACTGCTCCATGACCCTTAACAATATACCAAGTGACGCCGATTCAGATTATTCACTTGGGTCCCTTTCGATTGGTGACACATATTTGTTTCGAGGTCGGGAAACTTGTGAGACACTTGCTACACAGCAAGTGTTGAATGTTACGAAATCTTTCGCAGTATTTCGCTCCTGGGTTCAAAGTGGCGAGGAAGCAAATGCTATTGACAATTTCTTGCGCTCTCTTCAGTCGGAATTTATCCTGCAAAATCGATCACTATGTTTAGGCAAGGAGCTTACTTTGTCAAGTGACGAAGAGCTCGGTAAATCGCCAATAATGTCTTCCAAGGCTATACTTCTCTTTAACAGCAAGTTGTTGCCAATTGTTCGTGGGAGTTGGCGAACGTACACAGGTGGATTCGTCTTCTTTTGTCCGAATTTCAATCCAATTATCGTGTCTATTGAGCAAAATGTCGAATGGTTTTCGATCCTACCGTCTTCTTATGATGAGTTGGTGCTTCTGAAGATTGTTTTGAAGATAGATAAAGATAGTCACTTAACACCGGTACGTGGGTTTTTTCATGGTTTGAGTCACAACCTGTTGATCATCCTTTTGTAGTTGTCAAACGTCATGCCTGTCCATTTAGAGTCAGATGAGATATACATCCCTTTACAATCGAGCTCGCGATTCCAAGTTGAGGTTTTTAAAGCTTTGGAGTCGTGGAAAGCCACTGCTGCTGCTCTAAATACTTTGGTCAATCAAGCTAGTGAGTTGTTGAAGAATCAACAAGTAGGCTTACAACGAGAACAAAACGGTATTCATGCTGAGATTCCAAGTCAAGTGAAGGCAACGTGCGAGATGCTAGTATCCAAACAATCGTTTGTGGGTCAGGATGCTCGCACAATTGATAAATTGTTTCCACAAGATTTCATTCCGAACGAGCCAGATGAGTTCTCAACAGTGTCATTGCCCATTTCAAAGAATCCCAGCAGGCTTGATGTCCCAGTCACAATTATGATTGGAATCCCTGGAAGTGGTGTCGAGGCATTAGGTAAGTTAGTCTGCAGCATTTCATCCTCCAGCTTCACTTGGATTCCTATCAATATTGATCTTCGCAATCTGGAGCCTGAAAAACAACAAAAAATGGAGAATAACGGGCTTTTTATACTTTCCGGTGAAATTTCTCGAGCGCTGGATCGGATTAACGAATCTGCTCAAAGTCTTCACTTGCCTCCTCGAATTCTTATAAGTATCACGGGATACATCGATCCTATCATGGTAGCTATTGCAGTCCGACGTGGAGCACACAATGCCCCGCTTTCAAGCACGATCGGAGCGATTATTACTTGTTTAAGTGCGGTTAATGTCAATGTACCAGACCCATTAGATGCCCAGGCACCACTTCCAAAAGTCTTTGATCAAATGACAGCTGGGTTTGTGACCCACTTAGTAGTTACGAACAGCTCATATGTTTCCGAAGTAGTCCTTCAACGATTGCGTTCTCGCATGGACCAAGTGAATCCATTCACCGACGTGATAGTTCTGTCACACGATGTTTTTGAAGGACCTATAACTCCATTACTTTCGGTGGACCGATTCGAAAGTGTCGAGCATAAGCAGTACCGTGGCTTTCATTTTCAAGATTGGGACAGCAGTGTTTTAAGTGATGATATCTCGTCAATGTATACACGATACGTTGCTGAGCTTGAGCCTACTCAATCACCTGTGAGCTTTCGTTTTGAAATTGGTACTGGGTTGGATCGATATAGATTCTTACAATCTGTCGTGAAAACTTTAACTCCATATGCCACGTTAGCAAAGTCACTGGATCGAATTTACCCAATAGACAAGAACAATATGAAAGGAATTCGTATCGCTCAGACAATTGCCATCAATAAAGCGCGCCAAGATATTCAGAAAACATCTTCTTCGTCTTCTATCTCGTGCAGTGACGTGGTGAGTTTAGACGGCCGGTCGCAGTCGTGTTGGTGTGTCGAAGGGCAAGTTGTATTTAAAGATGAACCCGATCGCGTGTATGAATACCTTTCGACTGGCACTTTAGCTCGGATCTGGGTTGGTTTAAGTCATGATAAGAATACAAAAAATGTTTTCTCGACGGAGGTGAAGATTACTGGACAAGGTCTCAATGCTCAAAAGTTGCACCAACTTCTACTTAGCTGTTATGATCATGCTGATTCTTTATCAAATCATCCTCGTTCGAAGGCTTCAATCAGCCATGAGGAGAAGTGTGAAATTCAAAGGCAACATGTACGTACAAAAGAATACCGTCGAGTTAACTTACCATATATGCTTATGCTGATGTGCTATTTGAAACTTGGGTGACAGGCAGCAGATCCTTTGCCTGAGGGCTACTTGTTTGACGGCACCAATTATGTCGATTTTTTTGGTAGTCGCTATGAATTTCACCCCTGCATCGCCCGATTTATCGACGAATATATTGCAGCTGTCAATGACGATAAGAAGGTAACAAAGGTAAAGGCGTCAGCAAAGCTTGGGTTTCAATGTTTTGTCAAACAACTTGTGTAAGTTATTTAGCCAACGCAGCGAAATTTTGCAACGTTTATTCAAACATTTGTTTCCTTGATTGTTTAAAAGTCAGCAAAATATTTCACATCATCCTCTGGGTCGATACTTTCGGCACTTGATAACCTTTCTCGATCTTCGTTAAGAGTCTGAAATGACCGAACTCGAGCTGCATTAAAATCTTTTTCATAATTGTAAGGCACCATTAAAAGATTTTCTTGCGCTTCAAGCTGAGACCAGTTAATGTCACTGAACCAAATATGATTCATCACCTATTAATTAAAAAGTGATCAGCAAGTGGTCAAGGGTCGATTCGAATTCATTGCTAATGCGTACCTCAACTGCTCCATCCTTACCAAGTCGCTTACAAGGATTGATCTGAAGCAAGGAGCTAGCATTTGCAAATTACTAATTAGAATCTTGCTAAGAATCATCAAAGCAAGGGATGTTAATTACCATATCAATGACTTTAAATCAGTGCTGAAATTGCTTTCAACTGTTTCATCTTTTCTCTCTGGACGTTCAAAAAGCGATTCAGCTTTCAGTTCAATTTGCTGAAAATACTCATTTATCGTTTTATCTGATGGGCACTGATACTCCCATGGAGGGCATCCTGCAACCATCTCATAGATAATCACACCGAGACTCCTGTCAACAAGCGAAGTGTAAGAGCTGAGACAATTACCGAATAAGGAAACAGCTCACGCACCACCAATCACAAGAAAAGTCATACAGATTCCTACTAAATACCTCAGGTGCCATGATGTAGTGTGTGCCGCACAAAGATTGCGTCCGTCCACTTCTGCAGTCATTCATACAAGTTGATTTTGAAAGACCAAAGTCAATCACTTTAGCAAATCCCTTCTTGTCAATGAGCACATTTCCACTTTTAAAATCGCGATGAATGTATTGATGTGCGTGTAAATCTCGCAACGCCAAAACCAATTGTGCAGCAAAGAACTTTGCCATATGTTCAGGAAACCTTCCAGTATCTTGAAACATCCAAATGCACTCATACAACGGTCGTCCATCAATAAATTCTTGTAAAAGTAAAATTTCATTCGAAGTTTCAAACGTTCGAAAGCCTCGACAGAGAAATGGACTTTGAAGTTCAAACAAAATCGATTTTTCGACTTCCAGCCGCGTTTTGTGCTTCTCTGAAATTATCTTTGATTTTGCAATTCGCTTGAGTGCTGAAGTAAGTCACAAACTTTCGTGAATCCACTTTCAATCCAACTACATGGTGTAACGTACCATAACGCGTGGTTGAGTCAATGAATTGGACAAGATAAACACTTCGCATCATATTCAACAAGATATAAGGCAGTGCAATCAATGGTAGTCCATTATATACGTTAGATAATATAATCACCTGGAGTAGCCTCCGTGACCAAGAAGCTGGAGCTGCTCGAAATCATCCATGCTAGAAGATTGCGCCGATTCGTGAAAGTTTACGACATTTTTACATTACGAAACCTATCGAATAGAATGATTGCAATAAAATTCTTACTTAAGTGGAAAATGACAGCAATGCGTGGACGTATGCGGAAGGAGATTGCGATGCTAGAGAGCGACCCGCCGTTTGGTACGTTGACATTATAAACATATTTATAGCAAAGTTCGTTTATTCGCGTTACATGAAATATTATCGTTTGTCGTTATGAATGGTCTGTAGGCGTCAGCGCATGGCCTAAAGATGACCAGCTCGACCGTCTAGAAGCACGTATGAGTGTTAGCGAGGATTTTTATGAGATTTTCTATATTGTCGTGAGCTTATGCTCAAGAGTGGTGTATAGAAATTATGGGACCAGAAGGTTCTCCTTACGAAAGAGGTTTGTTCAATCTCGAGATTGATATTCCCGAACGGTAAGTGCGCTTTGAACTGGTTTCATGCTATTAAGTGATGATTGTTTTCTTGGAAATTAGTTACCCATTTGAACCGCCAAAAGTTCGCTTTTTGACGCCTATTTATCATCCAAACATCGACGATGGTGGAAGAATCTGTCTCGATACACTTAAGATGCAACCCAAGGTGAGAAAAATGTAAATGCTGGAGGCTTTTGAGGTGACAATTGACTACATGTGATGCAGGGTTCATGGCTACCATCGGTTAATATTTGTACACTACTGACAACAATTCGCTTACTCATGGCAGAACCGAATGCAGATGACGGACTGATGCCGGATATTGTACGGGATCCTGCTCTATTGACTTTCATTTGATGCTAGATTATTGACTACTTATGCAGGCAGACATTTTTAAGCACAATCGTGAGCTGTTCAACTCAAACGCAAGTGAGATGACCTTGCAACATGCGTGCAATCTTCAAGCTTCGACTGAGAAGGATGATTTGAAAGAGAATGAAAAAAATGAAGCTACTATTCCCGATACCCAAGTGGCGAAAGACTTGTTTCAAACGAAAGATTTGAATTCTTCAGACGACGCGTTCAGCGACGGCTTTTCATCTAGCGAAGATGAGGAAAGTGATTCTTTTCAGGATGAAATTGAAACGAATCCACAAAGTAAGCGAGTACGCCGAGAATAGTTTCCGTCAGCACATGCTGGATCTCAAGAGTATTGTGAGCGAGCTCTTTATTTCACTTCATCATCTAGCGACAACTTTTATCAACCAAAGCGCACAACGAATTAAAATGAAACGAGGGCTCAAACACTTCCTCTTATTCATCGCAAAGTCACTACTTTTGAAGTTGTACAACTGATGAGGGTAAACTTTCGAGAACATGTGGCCAATGTTTTCGACTTTGATTGAGCCTCTGCATCATAAACAACAATAATTACAAAGGCATGTTCGTTTTGTCTAAGTAGCCCATACCTTATTTAACTGCACGCAAAGAATAGGTTCTTTTGGAGTTGGAGTGTAGTCGAGTGGCTGAAGCGTTGCTGGCGCTTCTCGTTTCAATTGCTGCAATACCTTCTCGCTCTTCCATTTGCTTCCTAAGCTGCTTCCTGCCATCTTTCGCTTGTGTAGACTGACTGCCGTTTTAAAATCTTTCAGTTTCCTCCACGTCTTATGCGCATGGTCTGAGCCAAAATTTACTGAGCAATTTAACACGAAGATTTGCTTATATTTAAAAAGATTAAATGGTACTTGGTCTTGCTCGCATCCAGTGGTTATCGTGCATTTCTCACAATGCAGGCATTAAAATAGTAGTCATTTTAAATCGATGACTCTATATGAGACTCACCGGGACGGAACGTACAAAAGACTTTGTCCCACAATGAAAAGCGTTTAGCAAAATTCCAACGTGGATACGTGTGATGAACTTCGTGATCATGTACTCGACTGCAGATACTCGTAAGGTTGTTAAGTAGTGGCATTTGTGGGAAGGAAAAGCCTTTGACATCCAAACCAGAGTGGCCAGCGACTTCTACGTATGACTTGTAGGCAAGCAGTAGATGCAGCTGGAGATTCGAGAAGGAAAAAAAACACAAAAACCAGGAGAGACAGAATGGAAGCACATTTGTAAGGCAAACATCGAGTCCATCTTGCTCATACGTTGACAATGGACACGGAAAACGATGAATATGGTGGCGTTTGTGAGAGTTCACATAAAGCCAAGAGATTCGATGGCACATCCAGTGCGTTGCATAGTGAAACAAATCAAAGACAACCTCAAAGACTAGCGATTTGGGGATGAAGTAAGCATATTCCACCATGAATGATTGCCACGTCAAAGTCTGTTCCATCGGATCAACTGTCCGATTTGCGAACCAGACAGAAATACAATCCAGAGGCACCACAATAAAGCAAGCACGAAAATAAAGAGCCCGCAATTGATCACCAGTGAGTTGAGTTCGCTTGTCACTATTAATCTTGTTTTTTTTCGTACCAACCCAATCAAACCACTTGACCGGCGCAAGCATTCGAAATAAATTAGTCATGTAAATCACTGCCACTTGGACATGGGGCCTGACTTCATGATTTAGTGACAACAATGCCCTATAGCTGACGAGACCAATAGCACAGATGAATGCGTTAATAATTACATAATACTTGAGACGGCGAACGATGTACTGAAAATTATCAACAACAAGCATAGACGACTTCATCTGATGCTGGTCAATTGTCGAGTGATAATAATGTGAGGTGCACAATCATTGGTGACTTTCATGGGCGTAACATTTCTAATAGAGAGGATTAAAGCTTGATTGAAGAAAAGTATGTATCGGAATCCTCTATTAGAGGTTTCGGGCTGGTTACTGAAACGCCATCAAAGAAATTTCGGTAGTGTTTGTAAGAAACTTCCATTGATGATTTTTCGTTTGTTGGATGACTTCGCGATCTCAAACTAGAAAAAAGCTTCATCGCGATACGTAACGATGCAGTTGTTACGACGCTGCCTTTGATAGATGTATCAGGTGTTTCAAATTGGGATCGTTAGAAGACTTATGGCTGATTACATGCGATGTGGATTACGTCCGAATCCTTGAGATAATTTTTGTAAGATAAGATGCTTTGATAATAAATGATTGTGTAAAGTGAGTTCTTGAGATTATAAGTATGAAGGACCATGGGATCGAAACTTTAATTGATGCTTGCAACAACTTCGATTCATCTCACTTGGTAGAACCCTCCAATCGCTTGTCGTCGATGGTATGTTTCGCTTCCTTTGCGAGTTTTCCCAGATATGAATCGGATACGTTTGGTCTTTTGCGACTTGCAAGGCTAAATACAGTGCGATAACATATAAGCCTAACCTGCGAGATCATCCCTCAAATATAGCTAATTACCATCAAAATAGTCGCAATTACCTCGTCCCCTACTGCACATGTGTTCATACAACATGTAAACGAAGTGCGTCTTTATTAATCAGTTAAACGGAATCTAAACTACATCGAATTGAGATCTAATCAACATGTGGCTTGTTAGCCTCACCCTATGGTTTAAGACTTCAGTCCGTAAAAGCGATAAGCAAGACTCAATTTCAAGTATCTCGCTCGAATTTACGATCAAAAATGTTAGCAAGGCTCACGTGGTAAAGTTCGGCCATATCGCACTCGTCAGCGAATATCAACTTTACTATTATTTTTCAAATATCAAAGTATACAAATTCCTTCTCAATTTTGTGTTATTTTTGTCATAAATGCGTTAGAATTTGAGCTTCCTGTCGTCATATTGCTACTCCCCATATTTTCTTCGTTGTCTCCGTGAATTTCGTCAGCTATATCCTCTTACATTTCATGGACGAGTCGCTACTTGCTGAAAATGATCTTCTACACACCGAAGAGGATGATGAATTACTCTGGAACGAGCTTAAAGATGATCGCCATGCACCTCCATTCGGTGGTATGATTCGATCAGATTCAACACGACATTCGAATGTCAACACTTCCTCAAAAAATTCTGCGCTACCATCTTTGCGTGTTAATGTGCATCTTCCTGCTATCTCGACACTGTTTCGCGAGTTGCTAGACACGGTCAAGACAGCAATTCCTGGGTCTCAACATAGAACGAAGAAATCTTTATACCAGACTCGTATTTCGCCCGTACCCGATCGATATGGAAACGTAGCCAATCTTGATGCATTTCTGATCACACTATACAATTACTATTATCATAAGGGGTTTTGGTGCATTGTGGTCGTGGAAGTCGTAAGTCTTATGACTGGTCTCTTTAGCGTTGCTCTCTCTAGTTTCTTGCTTGGTTGTGTACAATGGGGACCACTGCTCGAGTGCCATCGACACTCTGAAACTGGAGGGTGTGCACAGGAGATGGAACATTATATAACGTGCAAAGCTGATAATAATGGGATATGGGGACTCATTGGAGCATTTTACTTTGCGATGTTTTTCGTCTATTGGATTGCACGAGCTTTTCAATTAATTCGAACACTTCGAGACACAAAAGAGATGCAAGAGTTTTATAAAGAACGTCTACATATCGATGCTCGACAAGTACAAACAATTACATGGGATGAAGTCGTGACGAGAGTGATGAATCTCGTAAACGGCGCAAATAATCCAATTCATATGCGGCAATTGTCATCTTACAAGCTCCAGATTGATCCAGCTTTACTGTCGTCACCTCATGACTTTGCACGACGAATCATGCGGCGTGATAATTATTTGATTGCTTTTATGAATCACACTTTATTTCAAAGCCAAACTTTATTGCCTTCATCACTGCAATTTTTCTCTACAGCACATATCATGTGTTCGAGAAATTTGGAAGCAAATCTTAATATTTGTCTTTTGGACCAAATGTTTGATGCTGAGCAGAATTTGGCACCGTCAGTCATTCATAATGTCGAAATGCTTCAAAAACGATTTGTTGTTGCAGGAGTGCTCAATCTTGTGCTAGTGCCATTTATCTTGTTATATCGCTTGTCCCGTTTCTTCTTTTTGGCGGCTCAAGAATGGCAAATGAATCACGTTTATTATTTTGGCACTCGACGCTGGTCGACGTATGCCATTTGGCGATTTCGTGAGTACAATGAACTGCCACATGTTCTCGATGCTCGTATGGCACGCTCGTTTTCGCTCGCGGACCGATACCTTAGTATGTTTCCGACTGGCTCACTAGCAATTATTGCCGGTGGAGTCTCATTTTGTGCAAGCTCGTTGATGGCTGTGCTTCTTCTTGTTAGTCTCTTGGAAGAATCAGTTTTACTCCAAACAACGCTCTTTGGTCATGAATTATTGTGGTACTTGACCATTTCCACGGGACTGTTTGCATTCTCGCGCTCATTTACGTCCTCAACGTCTCCTTTTTTGATAAATGGTAATTGCGAAGAAGCCATGATGCAAGTTGCTGCGGAAACGCATTATTTTCCAAAGGAATGGCGGGGGCAATGCCACTCATTTGAGGTGCGGGATGCATTCACCGTGCTCTTTCCATATAAGGCTGTGCTATTCGCAGAAGAGTGTGTATCAGTGTTGTTGGCACCATATATTCTATGTGTATCTCTTCCTCGACTTTCTCGCGAGATTTTACTCTTTCTGCGTACGCATTCGTTAGTGCATCCAAGCACTGGAGCTGTCTGTCGATTTGCTGAATTTGATTTTAAAGAATACGGGAATGATGCGAAAATGGAAAATTCGTTTCTTAACTTTAAGCAAAATCATCCGAAATGGGTAGGTGCTCGTGAAGGAGAAGCTCTCATACAACGTCTTGGAAAATTCAAAGAAGAAGAAATGGACAAGTCCATACGGATGGGGGACACTGTGATGTACAGCAGCCACTTGTCGATGTCACAGCAGCTGATGCAATCTCAAGCTATTCAGAACGCAATGGGAGGCGGTCGACTGGCTGGCTATATGCCTCACGACAACGAGTTTTATTGGTTGGAAAAGGTAAAAAGACTGAACGACTACGAACAGATTGTTCATTCTAACATTCTTGATGTTTGATTACTAGCTGCATGAGCAGGGTCGATTGGGTGAGCTGGAGTTGGAAGACGTGAAAGATAATCCGGCGGACAGTATCTCTAGTTCAAGTCTTGGCTCTCCGTGAATTTAAAGTTACGCGTATAAATACATGAATCTTCATCTTTTTCTTCTCGCCATTTACGTGCACCGAAGCAATGTATCAAACAAACGATATCGAACAGCTCTGCTAATACAATCAGACTCTTTTGAAGGCAATGTAGCCAAGTACGACTTGATGCACAAATGAAAGGCGTTATTAGCATTTAATAACGCAGCAAAGCGCTTTTTCACCAATGCACTCGAGCTTGTGTTTTTGCTCAAATCACATGGAGGAATGCCATGAAGAAAGTGTTCCTACATGCACAAAGAGATATCAAACTTTACAGCAACAATATTGTCTAATTCAAAGCTTGTACCGACCGCGTCGTTGCCGTAAACAATAACATTTATATAGTCGCTCCCTTCTTGGACACCTAGAACGAAAGAATAAATAAAGTCGCTGCTATTGCTAGCTTTCGGCTTGCATATCTTAACGATCTCAGTAGGCCAAATGCTTCGAATCTGAGCGCAACAGTGATATTTTCGAGGGGTTTGTTTTGATCGAAGGATCTCACGCAATGGTGTGACTGGAATACTTTTGATAATATGTTCAGGAATGACTGTGATAACCTTCATTGAACCGTTTGTAGTAGGAGAATGAACACAATTCTGATCTTCACTTGTTGTACCTGCGGTTAAGTTATTGAGTACGAGACGTCGTTGTACGTCGAGCGCAAAATCAGGCATTAACACGAACGAAGTCACCTCTCGGAAACGCAGTGTGATTGTTCTTTCGGGAGCAACTTCAGGAAGAGGCTCATCGATTCCGACTGCCAAGTTGCGAAAGCGACACCAGTTTGTGAGCATCCCGTCAATAAAACCCATTTCACGTACGACAGACCAACATGACGACATGACCACCTCTTTGAGTAATCCGTAAACTGGCACAGGAATGTCTTCATCCTGCAAAATTTGTACCAGAACTCGGTCGGAATCTGCTGCAAGTCCTGAACCATCCCAAATGATCAAGCGAGTTGGTTCTGCCTTGTCATCTAGATGTAGAACTCGCACTACCAGATCGGTAAAACCTTCTGCATATTTCAGCTCCGAGAGAAATTTTGGCGCAAAGGAATATCCCTGAGGTAAAGATTTATCTTCAGCAATGCTCTTCTTTGCCCATTCACTTGAAAACATTTAACAGACCAAATGGTTAACATGTTACGGATAAATTTGCCTTCATGACGAACTTACATTAGTGCACGCGTTCGATGCTCATCCGAAGGTTCAAAAGTCCAGGTATCGGAGTTCGTAAGCTGCTCAAGGTCCCCAGTCGCTTGTTCTCGGAGCACAAGAAATCGCGTTGCACGATGTCTGTCCATCAAAACTCGGTGTTTGTTAGCCACATGAGATTGTAAGAACACGTAAAACGCACGATACGTTGCCGTCTGGCTTGAAATAACGTACAGACTGAGACCTTGGATTCTGTTCTGAAATTGCTGAATTTTAACTTTGTGAAAGCGAATGATGTCACCAACGTACTATTGAAACGTAAGTTTCAAGACCTGAAATATTTTGGATGATGCGAGGATGTACCTTTATCTTGGGCATTGCCGCGATTGTAGGATAGAAAATATTTATGTGAATTGCTTCTGCTCGCGTGGGACGGCTCTCATCAGTCAAACTTACAGTCATCTTGACAGAATAATACAATTGGATCTTCTTAATCTCTAAGTTATACTTCCGTCAAAAACAAGAGACGTACACAGAAATCACGTCCACTGGTTTTCTTTGGCAGCGTCATGTTGACAGCGACACCGTATATATCAGCGTATCCATCCACTAACTCGGATAAACATGAGTATCGATACACTGTCGATGGGTTTGTTGCCTTCTCAAGCATCCTTTTTCCATGATTGGCTTTCTGTTTCACAACATTGATTTGAATATCCAAAATCTTGTTTCCCTACTTATTTCAATTGAACCTTTCTTGGTGGACTGTAATCATTGTTTTGTGGATCCTTCGACGAAATAACTATACACAAGAAAGAAGTCAGGAGGAATTTTCTCTGATGGTTTTAATTCTTCACAACCTGAATGCAGATCTCTTGTTGTAATCGTTTTGGGTGGAAGAAAACGCAATTGATCCGACTCGGGTAAACGTTGCGGTTCTTCGTACACAACCTTAATATGCAGACTTTTAGGAAATGGAAATAATCGTGGCTGTCTATCCAATGTTTTCTTGAGCACATTTCTTTCAGCAACCACGATACACTGCATGCGTTCCTCTGTCTCTGCCCCAGCTTCCCATTCTAGCGTCACTAGTCCTTGTCCAGAAATCTGAAGTTTATACTAAACCACAGAAAGATAGTAATGAATCTTGATAGAAAAAAAGCTTAAGCTTCTCTCAACTTGCATGACGTTTGATAAACTGCATCTTGCTCGCCCATTCGTCATAAAAGAACACTAAGCATGTTTCAAATGTCGCGCGTGCCATTAGATTCAAGGTTAAGGTACTAATTATTGTAGAAAAGTGTGAGGCAAGATATCTCACTCAAAAGGATATGGTTTTCGACAACAATGACAACAATTTGCGATGCGTCAGGACCACACGGACCTACGCCTGGTCCGAATGCGCCTAACTCTCGACCAGCTGAAGACATAGTAGAAGTGCCACTAGACATTGAGCAAAGTGACTGCAATGGATACGCGCGTTTGACTGAGCCATTAACTGCGGGACCGCCACTATCCAGCTCCATTTTATTCTGACAAATATTTTAGTCTTACAAAACCAATGTTTTCGATAATAATTTTAAGAAAATCATAGAGTAGATCTGTAAAAGCGCCCCTTACAATAAGACTTTGTAAAGGAGACTAGTCTCACATCATGCAATGCAGACAGGATGTTAATAAATTCGACATGTATATCGTTCGTTTAATAAAACTTGAGTTTATATATGTCACACAGTATGATCGCTAGGTATGGTGTCATCATGGGACGCGGCAACACTGCCGACATCATTTCGAACATTCTCATGTTATGTGACAAAGCTATCAGAGCTTTATGCTCGCTCCACAAGCGCTTCTCCTCCCTAGCTTAAGTTTCGGATCGTAAAACTCTACCAGAAGAGAAGAGTATGGCACCTACAAATTTAACTTTTAGTCGAATTATGGCCGAGGCGATCAAGCCACCATACCTACAATAAAATTTTATGTCCTGGACGAAATCAAGCTTCTACGTTCTCAACATTCTCAAACTCTACAGTAAGGTTATTAAACATTATCAATATCCGGACGCTAGACATTCGGATTTGAAAATTGTATTCCCTATTTATGATGCCTCCGCGATATTCCGCTTACTTTTACAGACGGAATTGCTCGACGCTCATGTATCTATCACGGCTAGCCGCTGATGTTGACTATCAACGACTCGTCTGTGATTTCCGCCAATCCTACATTGAGCCGCTTGGTTAGGGATTAATGCATTTGATTCGGAATTCCACGAGGTACGATTAAACCCACTCTTTCCACTAAAGGCAGCCTTGTGCCTACTTGTATTTGACCTTTCCCCACAAAGGCTTGTCAAACAACTTTGAGTGGAAGCTCGATCCTTCATATCGTACAGCCGGGAACGAAGAATGTTGTATATGATATAGTCACAAGATTAACATCTGAAAATTTCACTTGGCGTTACGGCAAATAAATGATCTCTCTTCCTCCTCGGTTTGAATGAGTTACCATCTCTGGCGCACGTTTAAAGCTTTCACCTCCGCACTCTGACCAATCAATGTAATACGTAAGTTGTGCTCCTTATTTAATGCGACACTTACCGTATCCTTGATTCATCTGTTCGATACCACCCACCAATATGGGATGGTTACCGGATTCAGAAGATGGTATGAAGCAGTCAAGGCAATGAAGGCGCCTGAGTATAGTACGCTATTTCTTGCTCCTTGACGAGGATCAAGGAGTTTGAACGCAAGCAATTCCTCTTGTCAGACCAAGCGAAAACCCGCGACGTATGTGACTTCAAGCATTTTCGGTCTAAATCCTCTTCCACCGGTGTATTGCAAGTAAGTGCTCATTCTCGCGCGCGGTGCTTGGCTTGGCGATTGCAAGCACCGCGTGGAGCAGGGCCGCCGTAGCCCTTCCGCCTAAGCTAAGGTCGGTGACCTTCGTTCTATACATAGAGTGTAGCGGTCGCAATCCGCTTACTCCAAGAGTGACCAGAACCTTAACCCAATGCAAATAAACAAATAAACTATTCCGCTCAAAATGTAAACTGTGCTTCTTGGTTTTATCTGCAGCGAAGACAACTATATCTAAAGCTAAAGGTTTTCCTAATTAAATTGAATAGATACATAACCCCAACCACGTACTGACTTCTTGATAAGGTGTGACAACACCATTGTGTGATCACACCGTCTAGCGTAACCCACGCTCTATGATCACACCATCTTGTGCTACCCACCTTTTCATATTAGGGTACATGTAACCCCGTTACACCGCGCGTTTTTGCTCTAACTGAAACTAGCCGGATTTAGGAGCCTCCCTACCTCTAAGATATTTTACTCTCATTCGAGAAACCCAAACGTTTAGTATCAGCAACCTCACTGCGGGTGCCTATTATATTCTACAGACGTCTAGAGAGTAAATTCGAATTTCTCTCGGCAGTGTTCTTGCAGCTGATAAGAGTCACTATGCGAGCGAGACGCAGGACGCCAATTCTCATTACCTTTATAACCAAAGCTGGTGCTGATCTAACTCTGTGTGTCTTAGTAACGGAGAGATGCCAATTTATGGTGTACATTTTTGTTTAAGGCCCCAGAATGACATAAGTATCGGTACTGATGAGGACGCCTGGACTCCTTAAATGAAATATTTGTGCGGCACGTGCGCTGCTAAACTCGCGTTATAGTTTATCCCTAACGAGAACAAAGCAAGTATCTTGTAAGATTTACTTCGACATAATGCAAAATTATTCTCTAAAGTATGAAAAAGCTAATTAATCGGACGAGTTCAATGTCTTGACTACGGCCTTCGGCAGACTCTACGAATCCTGTGCATGTTAACCCGGGCTCTTGATGACAAAGCGTTTTCTGTGCAAGATCCACGTTAATCTCGGTGCGCTTGGTAGTCGTCAATTCAGAGACCAATTCTTAATGAATTAATTTTCACTCTGAGTGAAGCAGAAATTGTTTAGCTATCTGTCAATGATGCGACTTCAAGATTAGTCGACAACAGTTTTATGAGGTCAAGAAAAAAGCATCGGTGACTCAAGACGGGTCGGTGGAGTGTAGCTTTACTTTTCTATCACACCGGTTTTGCTCAAAGTCAGAATCGTTTGTTATTAAAAATGTAAGTCCTTTCAATGAACTTACCATTTTGTATTCATTTCCCCATTTTTCGCTTATTATAGTTGCCCAGTCCGTTGCAACGCAAGCCTGGTCTGTATGTTGCCTACAACATTGACAACTATTTTGCAAACGAACCGTCCTGAATCAAGAATTGCAGTTTCGACCAATTAACGTAGAAGGGGACTGAATGTCTCGTGACTTGATATTTTCGCGAATACAATTATCGGCAATGCCTGACCAAAATAAGCAATGTTCCAGGAATTAACCAACGCAGAAAGTCTTCACCCAAACAATCAAATTCTTCGGTCTTACCAGTCAATCACCTGTGGGTTACCTGCTGATCATCAATTACAGTGGCCTCCATGGTATTTATAATGGGTTACCTGAACTAAAAAGAAGAACACAAGCTATATATATGTAAATGGAAAAAATTCTTCGTAAACCTCCCATTTTTCGAATATCTTGTTCATCACCCATTGCATGA